CCACCTCCCAGCTTCAAGCAATTCTGCCTCAGCCTCCCAAGTAGCCCGCCACCACATCCAGCTAATATTTGTCTCTTTAGTAGATACGGGGTTTCACCATGTTGGCCAGGCAGCTCTCAAACTCCCAACTACCGACTACCGGCTGAGTCATGAGATTCCCACCCAGGCGGGCCGAAGGTATTTGAGAGGGAGACACCCAGATAGAACAACAGAGTGGATGTATCCTGGGGACCAACAGCCCAAGAACCTTTGGGGCTGACAGTTCTCCAGACTGAAGGCCCTGAGCAGATTTTCATCCACGTATTTATTTTTGCATAGGTGAGTATCATTAACACACAGGTGTTCTACATATACACAGCTCAAGAATATCCCAAGTAGGCAGCTGTTACCCACCTACCACTAATTATAAACTAAAAGATCTTCCACAAGGGAACCCTGGGGCAGGGGAAAACCTCAAGTGATCTGCCTGCCTCAGCTTCTCCAAGTGCTGGGGTTGCAGGTGTGAGCCACCCGCCCAGCCAACTCTTCCTTTCTTGAATGCCCTTTTCTGCCATCCCACTTTCCCATTGTTCGGGGTCAAGGTTGATGCTCACCTTCCCCAGTAAGTCCTCCCGGATCTCCTCCCAATTCTCGTGGAGTAAGCAGGGCAGCTCAGTGGCTGGAGGCACAGGCCTCATGGCCAGGAAGCCCGGCTTACGCTGTGACCCCACTGCTTCTGGCTGACCCTGGAGAAGCTGTCCACGCTGAGCTGCAGACGAGCCACAGCATGAATAGTAAGGATGAACAGCAGGTAACGCCTAGACCAAAGACATCTGGCCTTCCTAAAAACCAGGTGAGCTACATTTTTAAAAAGCAAAGAATGCAGATCAGGTAGTCACTACGTGTAGTAAAAGCGAAATAAAACAATTTTAAACAGAACAAAGTTTCAAGACTCATGCTACCTGATTTCAACACTTACATAGAGCTACAGTGACGGTGTGGCACTGGTTCAAGGTTCACGGGAACAGAACACAGTTTAGAAACAGACCTGCACAGATCCATGGCCAATCGATTTCAGATAAAGATGGAAAGGGAATCTGCCAAGACAGTCTTTTCAGCAACTGGTGCTGGAAGACTGAACATCGTTACGCAAAAACAAATGAACCTCCAAAATGGTTATGCCCATTTATTTATTTACTTACTTATTTGACAGAGTTTCACTCTTGTTGCCCAGGCTGGAGTGCAGTGGCGCAATCTCAGCTCACTGCAATCTCCACCTCCCGCATTCAAGTGATTCTCCTTCCTCAGCCTCCCAAGTAGCTGGGATTACAGGCATATGCCAGCACACCCCGCTAATTTTGTATTTTTAGTAGAGATGGGTTTCTCCATGTTGGGCAGGCTGGTCTTGAACACCCAACCTCAGGTGACTGCCCGCCTTGACCTCCAAAGTGCTGGGATTACATGAACCACCACACCTGGCTGCCATTTATTTATTTATTTGAGAGGGAGTCTCACTCTGTTATCCAGGCTGGGTGGAGTGCAGTGGCGACATCTCAGCTCCCCGCAACCTCTGTTTTCCAGGTTCAAACGATTCTCCTGTCTCAACCTCCCAAGTAGCTGGGATTACAGGCATGTGCCACCAGGCCTGGCTAATTTTTGTATTTTGAGTAGAAACGGGGTTTCAACATGTTGGCCAGTCTGGTCTTGAACTCCTGACGTCAAGTGATCCACCTGCCTCGGCCTCCCAAAGTGCTGGGATTACAGGTGTGAGCCACCATGCCTGGCCACAAGTCCTTTATTATACTGTATGTTTTACAAATATTTTCTCGCATTGTTAGACTTACCTTTTTTCCTTAATTTTTAATTTTTGATGAAGTGCAAAATTCATTGCAGGATGGGTCAAAATTAATTGGCAGGATGGGTAGTTAGAAAATTGGCAAGGATATGGAATTGAAATACACTTGACCTCACAAGAGCAGAATACGTTCTCCTGAAGCACACACTGAGCATTTACCAAGAGAGACCATAGTCAGGGCTATGAAACAAACGCTGTTAACTTCAAAAGGATTCGAGCGGTTTTTGTTTTGTTTATTTTTTTGATACAGGGTCTTACTCTGCTGCCCAGGCTGGAGTCAAGTGGCAGGAACATGACTTACTGCAGCCTCAACCCACTTCAGCTTTCCCAGTAGCTGGGACTACAGGCATGGGTAACCACCCCAGGGTAATTTTTCTGTAGAGACAGGGTCCTGCTACGTTGCCCAGGCTCAAGTGATCCTCCTGCTTCAGCTTCCCAGTGTTGGGATTACAGGTGTGAGCCACCACGCCCCAGGCAAGGACTCGACTGATACAAAATATGTTCTCAGACCACAGTGAAATTCAACTAGAAATCAGTAACAGAAAGATCTCTGGAAAATTCCCAAAGATTTGGAAGCTAAACAACACACCTCCAAATAACTCATGAGTCAAAGAATAAATCAAAGGGAAATAAGAAAGTATTTTGAACAGAATGAAAACAACATAACAAAATTTGTCAGGTTTCACAAAAGCAGACTCAACTTTTTAGACCTTACAAATGCCTGACTGGTCCCTCTTGCCTCTGGTGTACTGCCGGGGGTTGCCCTTCCCGTCTTTGTTCACTGTGCCGAATCCTACATGACACTGTCAACCTAGGAAGAAATCCAGAGACGGACTCTAAAATAAATGGGATTTATTTGGGAATAGCAGCTTATCTGGAATAATGCAACTGTGAGGATGGTCTTGTAGTAAGTCCTGTTATTGGTCTGTCTGTAGACTTGTGCCGAGTCCTGCTATTGGCCTGTGTGTAGGACGTTCTGTGCTAAGTCCTGCTATTGGCCTGTGTGTAGGATGTTTTGTGCTAAGTCCTGCTATTGGCCTGTCTGTAGAAATGTATTGCGCTAGGTCCTGTTACAGGAACGTGTGCATGAGGGCTGCTTCATCCCCTCCGTTTTATTAGAGTTTGACATAAGTGACTCCATTTTGGTACAGGCAACGTTCACAACTTTCTATGTGACTTCAAGGCCCTGCATCCTGAGCCTTCCCCTAACCATTTTGCAGGACAACTCTCTATGAGACTGAGTTCCTTGAGAGGTAGGACTGGATCTCATTCCCTCCTGAAACTTATCTGGGACAGCGACGGCCCATGCCATGCATGCCATGTGTTGCTGAATGCCTGCATCTACTCTCCCAGCCAGTGTGCCAGTCCCCACCGAGCCTCGCTCTCAACCTCCCTGGCTGGCATAGGTGCCTTGCACAGACATCCAGTAGCACTAAAAGATTGCTGTGCTCTCAGCTTCCCCCACCTGCAGCCCTCACTGGCCCACCCAGGTGTCCTGTCTCTGCTCAAGATGAGATCCCCCCGCCATCCCCTCAGTCTCCATAGCCAGGTGATGGTAGCTCCCCCATGGTCTTTTCCAGACTCTCACTGGCCCCTTAGGTCACTATGATGACCTCACCTCTTGGGACTCCATGTGGACATCTTTCCCTCGAATACATCTACATTTACCTGACCAAGAATGTGGTTTCAAGATGGATCCCATATCTGGCTCCAAATCCCCTCGACAGATTAAGGAAATCCCCTCAATTCCTAGCTTGCTAAGAATCCTTATTATAAATGGCTGTTGGGTGACTTACTGAGTGCGTGTTCTGCAACCACTGAGATGGTCACGTGGTTTTGCTCCTCTAATCTATTCATGTGAATGACACTCTTAGATACTCTGGCGTTGAAACCGCTTTGCAATTCCGAATTAAATCCAGTGTGGCACTTTGCTAAACTTGGTTTTTTATTGTTTACAATCTTGACCTTGGTATTTGGTTTGTAAGTTCCCTTCCCCTTACCTAGTTTTCTTCATGTCTAGTTTTGCTATCAAAGTTAAATTAATGATTTGATTCTCTGTTAGAATTTGTCTAAGTCTGGAATTACCTGTTCTCTGTTTCGTGGAACATTATGGACTCAATTTCATCAGTGATTACAACTCAGCCTTTCTGTTAGTTTTGGAGATTTTTCTTCCATTTACTTTGAGTTGTACCAACGTGAGTAGCACACTTAGTTCATCTCTGGCCCTTAAAAATACAGACACACATGCTGGGAGTGGTGGCTGACACCTGTAACCCCAGCACTTTGGGAGGCCGAGGCAGGCGGATCACAAGGTTAAGAAATTGAGACCATCCTGGCCAACACGGTGAAACCCTCTCTACTAAAAATACAAAACTTAGCTGCGCGTGGTTATACACGCCTGTAGTCCCAGCTACTGGAGGCTGAGGCAGGAGAATCGCTTGAATTCGGGAGGTGGAGGCTGCAGTGAGCTGAAATTGCATCCCTGCACTCCAGACTGAGACTCGTCTGAAAAAAATTAAAATGTAGAGACGTACAGCACACATATGTATGAACGGCACTATCTGTCTATCTATAGGCGCACATGCATTTAGGGAACATGAATTGTTTGGTGTGCAGGTTTAGCTCTTTTCCACAAATCTTTTCTTTTTGAGAGAGAGTCTGTCACCCAGGCTGGAGTGCAGTGGCGCAATCTCGGCTCACAATCCCCACCTCCCAGGTTCAAGCAATTCTCCTGTCTCAGCCTCCCAAGTAGCTGGGATTACGAGCTTGTGCCACCATGCCTGGTTAATTTTTGTATTCTCTCCATGGAGATGGAGTTTCTCCATGTTGCTCAGGCTGGTCTCGAACTCTCAACTTCAGGTGATCCACCCGCCTTGGCCTCCCAAAGTGCTATGGGATTACAGGCATGAGCCACGGGGCCTGGCCTAGCTCAAAATTGTTTTAATGACAGGGGGATGTGGTCAGATGATAACACTGATTCCTTGAAATATCTTGAGACTTCTTTTCTGGACAGAGTAGATGCTGTTCCATATACGCTTGGAAAGAAGATGGATTCCTTTCAGATACTGTTGTGTCTGTCCTGAGATCAAGCTCACACGCATCTGACGTTTGATCTTTCACGGCTTTTTCCTCAGTCCACCGCCTAGTAACAGACATGCCAGCTCCCTTTCAGTGACAATCTTTGTCTCATAACCAGAGACCAAAGAATTTTATTTACATCTTTATCATCCATATACCACTACAATTCACCTGGGTTGGTTCAGCCTGCGTTCATTTGTCTGCCTGTAACTTTGGATTTAATTCTCCCATCCCACTTTCCCATCTTCTGTTTGCCCCAGACTCTCTAGTTTTACTCCTTCTCTTTTCCTTAGGGCCAGTGCACGTGGCCCAACTCACATGCATGGACTCTGGGAAGGTACAGCTGCCTCCCTCCCTCTAAATTCTGAGCAGTGAAGAAGAGAAAGGAATGAGACCCCCACAGGCAGAAGCCAGGAGATGGGGGAGGAGCCATGGCGTTCTGTCCCAGGATGCCCCATGCCTGGACATGCTCCTGCCACTCCCGAGTGCCAGGTGCCCATAGGCTACACCTCAGGGCTCTGCTTGTGAGCTGTGAGCTAAGGTGGCCTGGCAATAGAGGCCACCCTCTTCCGTCCTGTGGCTCCTGCAAACACAGGCAGGGGAGAAGAGGCAATGACCGCCCACCACCACAATCCCTCCTCCCTGACCCTGCAAACTTTGGGGAAGCTTTCAGGCCCGGAAAAGGCCTGAAAAGGGTGCCCCAGTCTGGCTCACCCTTCCCTGGGTCTGAAGGCCCCGGGCCCCATTTTCAAGGATGACGCTGAAACATCCTCTTCCACACGGGTGACCTGAGCCCTCACAACTCAGCAGAGCACGACTCTGTCCCCTTCACGTGGAAGGGCCGAGGTCCACGGAGATCCTGGGATGAGCCACCATCAAGGACTCAGAGGGTCCCCTGGAGCCTCCCAGGCAGGAAAGGCTCAGGCCAGGCCCGCGCGCTCCAGGTCCTGCGGCAGGATGCGGCCCTTCTTGCGGGCCTTGAGCAGGCGGCGCTCAGCGCGGGCCGCCTTCTTCCTGCGCAGGTTCTGCCGCCGCCGGTCCTGGCGCTGCTGCATCTTCTCCACCACGCTGGCCGTGCGCTTCTCCCACCGGCGCTGCCGCTGTGCTCTGCGCTTCTCCTTGCGCTTCAGGGCCTCCTGCAGCAGGCGCTCGTCGTCACGGATCTTCACGCCCTCCGCCTTGTACAGGAGGTTGGTCCACTTCATCTTGGCCTCCAGCTCCTGCGCCTTCTCCTCACTCTGGCCGCGCAGCTCGTCCAGCTGGCTCTGCCGCGTCTGCAGGCGCTCCAGCAGCTGCCGGTAGTTCCTCCCGGTCAGCGGCGTGAGGTTCCCCTTCACCCTCTGCCTCTTCTCCTTCCTGCGCTGCGCCTTGCTGGCCGGCTGGTCTTCACTCACCTCCACCTGGGAAGGCGATATGACGTCACGTCACGCCAGCCCCGCACTCGGGCCCCAGCCCGGGCCAGCACCCCAAGGGACCTGTGCTGTCCCTGTCGCCACTTTACAGGCGTGATGGGTCTGGACAGAGGTCACGAAGGGCATCACTGAGGCCTCAGGGGGACCCGGCCCACCCGAAGCCCCAGCTTCCACTCACCTTATTGAAGATCAGCCTCGGCATCTCCCGAGGCTCCCTGCCGGCCCCCTCGGGGCTTGGCTCCACGGGCTCCTGGGCCTCCGCGGCCTCCTCTGCCTTCCTGGCCTTCTCTTTCGCCCGCAGCTCCTTTCGCTTCCTCTTCTTCCGGTCCCGTTCCTGCTTTCTCCGCTGCCTTTTCTGCAGGGCGGCAGGGGACAGCTCCTTGGCACTGCCCTGTGGGAAAGAGGCGCTCGCTCATTAAGGTTCTCTCGACTCCGGGGTCCCTAAGTCTGGCCCATGGTTGGCAAAATCAGGGCTGGAAGACAGGTGAGGAAATCCTCACGCCCAACAGGGGGCCCACTGAGTTCAGAGTTCCACAACCGGATAGTGCTCCCCAAAATGCAAATGACCCAAAAAGGGAGAAGGGACCCCCCAAATAAGAATCACAGCTTCCAATTCCCAGGCAGTTACCATGTGCCGGGATACACCACACAGCGTTTTATGGATGAGGAGACCACTGCCTAAAACTTGGAGTTGGGGTCTGAATACCCAGGCACCTGTCCCGACCCCTACTCACTCTGCTCATGAGGTTCCCAAACGAAGCTCTCCCCAGTGGCCTTTCCCATCCCTGGGCTAATAAGAGCACTACACCAGCCCGAACGAGACCCATGCTGCAAGAATGGGGCCGCAAGCCTCTCAGGAACCACACACCGTACCTCGGGATGGCAGAGGAGAGAAGTGGGGACTGTCCCCCACACAGCACGAGGCTTTAAGAAAGGGCCCCAGAGAAAGGATGTAGGGGCTGACACCACCATTCGGCACAAAGAGCTGCACTGGCACTTCCTGTGCCTGGCCACTCAGCTCAGGTTCCTCTCAACTCAGAGGACCATCAAGACATTCAGAGAAACAGACACAGGAGGTGCCCATCCCAGTGTCGTGTTCAGCAAAGGCAGCGTCCCAGAAGGAAGGAGGCTGATGACGCTAGGGACTGAGGTTCTCCAAGAAACTAGGAACCGCTCTCGCCGGGCCCAGCTGTGGGGCCCAGGCAGGGTCACTGCACTGGGAGAACAGGGCTGCAGCAGCTGCTGACAGCCGACCCCAGAGAGAACACAGACAGGGCAGAGACAGCACTCCAGAACACCTGCCAGCCTACCTGGCCCCGGGCCTCCTGGATCTTCTCATGCAGTCGCTGTCGCAGAACATCCAGGGCAAACAGAGACTCGGGCTCTGTGGCCAGGTCACCTGCAGGGAAGGAGCCAGGATTGTAGGGGGCGCTCTCTCACCCTTCCCCTCCCTCCCTAGGGCCCAGCACCCGTCCCACTGTGGCCACTCATGGATCTGCAGGACAATTCCCGTAAATTCTACTCCACCACTTCCACCTGGACTGGTTCCCACACCATCCTCCAGGATAGAAAACTGAATACCTCTTGAGGCAGGTCAACGTGCTGGGAAAAAAATTCCTATGGCACAAGCCAAACACCTCCTCCAAATTCTGCAGCCTGCGCCCCTGGACAAGTCTGCTCTCACGACAGCCCTGCAGAGACCTGAAGGGCAGTACAGCTCTTCAAGCCAAGCTGCTCCAGGTGCTCAGAGAGAGACAGCCTCACCTCCTGCCATCCTGCTCACCATGTGGCCTGGAACGCCATGCAGTTCTTTCGGTCCCATCCACCCTAGTGCTCCTGTGAGCCTCACTCTTGGGGAAGTCCCGTGCTATCCCTGTGGGCCTGCTGCTGCTTTTTTTTTTTTTTAAAGAGGAGACTGGACCAAGCCCAAGCCAGCCCGCCCTGCACAGAACCAACACGCCCTGATGCCTCTCACCTGCAGGGGTCTCTGCTGAGCTGGAAGCTGAAATCGCTGCCCCAGAGGCTGCTGGAGACTTCTCCCCGAAGGACTTGGCCTTGTGCTCAGCAGCTTTCTCTTCTCGCTCCCGAAATTTCTTTTGTGATGTGTTCCTTTTCTTTTTTGAGGGCCCTGCAGTTTTTGAGCCTTGAGTTTTGCCAGCTAAAAAGTAAAATGAGAAAGAGTCGCCATCCCAATCCCGTGGCCCATTCAACAGGCGGGAAAGGCCCAGCAAAGGCTTTGATCCCAGTAAGAGGCAGAAAGAGGATCAGGACTGGGGGCCAGAGACACTGAGCAGAGTCGGAGGTTGCAAATGAGTCGAGATCGCGCCACTGCACTCCACACAGCGAGATTCCGTCTCAAAAAAATAACTAAATAAAAGGAAACGGCGGTAATTTCACACGTCACTTAGATTTTTTTCTAGTCCTTAACAGACTCTTCTACCCCGACCCCGGCCGCGTCCCTCCTTCGCAGGCCCCCAGTCCCGGCCCTGCGCATTACCCCGCGTGCGCGCCTGCGGCTGCGGGCCCGGCTGGACGCAGATCTTCCTGGCCAGGCTCTGCAGGTAGGCGTCCTTGGCGAGCAGAGAGGCCATCGCGGAGGTCGGGGCAGTGCACGACTCACACCGTCCCAGCGGCACCGACCACCCTCCCCAACCCCGCCGTAAACCACCACACGTGCAGGCGCCGCAGACGAGCGCCGAGCCGCCAGCCCGCACGCTCGATTAGTCAGGCCTGGCTCCTCCGGAAGCGGCGCGCAGGGCGGGGCGCACAGCATTGTGGGCCGAGGGTAGCGGACCTCCGCCCGGAGTCGCTGCAGTCCGCGACTCGTATTTCCGGCCTCGGGGCCTCCATCTCCTGGGCTCCGCGGGTGTCTCTCCGCTCCCCTCATCCCCACCCGCGGTACAGCATGCGCTCTGGAGTAGGGGCGAAATAAATGAATGACCGGCAGTATATGCATTCAGTCCGTAAGGGGCCTCAGGTCTCAGGCGGACTCGGACTGAACGCCTGACACGTGGCAGGCCTTAGGTTCAGTCCCACCGGACACAAGCCGTGTGTCACACACAGGTGTTCTTGGCCAGTGTCTGCCGTATAGGTAACTGATAAAGCGGGCAAGCGTGTGACTGTCATGTGAGGGGAGCCCCAAGGAAAGCGAGAAGTGTTGGGTGGGAGGGAGCCAGCCTGTTCAAGGAAGACCCCCTGGGCAATGTTTTGCTTTGAAAATTATGGTTACACACCACTCTTTTTAACACATGACGTGGCCTTCATAAGAACTCACCAGGGGCAGGAGAAAGGAGAAGTCATGGCCTGAGGCTTGGGACCCCCATACCTGAGTTCCTCCTGCACAGGAAAATTACAGGCTCCTTAAGGACCCAGAACCCCTTCCAGGGCAACCCTGTTGGTGAAGGGAGAACCTGAAGTCATAAATTACAATGGAAAAGGTGGCTGCTAATATATGTATATTAGAAATAGTAAGAACTAAACTTTCTTCCCCTAACTTCTGCCATGAGGTGAGTTAAAAAAAATTTTTTTTTTGGCAGGGCACAGTGGCTCACACCTGTAATTTCAGCACTTTGGGAGGCCAAGGCAGGAGGATCACTTTGAGCCCAAGACAGGAGGATCACTTTGAGCCCAAGAGTTTGAGACCAGCCTTGGCAACATAGTGAGCCCCTATCCCTACAAAAATATTTTAAAATTAGGTGAATGTGGTGGCCTGCCCCTGTAGTCCCAACTACTCAGGAGGCTGAGAAGATGGCTTGAACCCGTGAGCTGGAGGTTTCAGTGAGCCAAGATCATGCCACTGCATTCTAGCCTGGAGTGCCAGGCTGTCAAAAAATACACATTTTTTTCACTTTTCAAAAAGCCAGTCAAATTTAGCAGTGGGGGGGGCGGGTTGTATGCCAACTACAGTGACACTAAGGTAAGTTCTGACATCCCATTGTCATTCAGACCAGCCTAGAGGTGATGCTTCATGGAGGATGGGCGTGACACTGCAGATGACTCCCCTGGACTGCTGGGCATCTTAACCCCATCACCTACTGAGTTCAGAATGTGTATCTGATCCCCTAAGCCCCATCTCATCCTCTCATTCCAACTTTTTCAGTTAAAAGCTCCATCCTTCCAGGTGCTTACATCAGACTGAAACCACTGACTCCTTTCTTATTCCCACGTCCAACGCTTCAGCAAATGCTGTCAGCTGTGCATTCAGAGCAACTCCAGAACCCAACTAGACCCACTGCCATCTCACCACCACTCTGATCCTGTTTTTAGTTTTTGAGTCGGGGTCTCACTCTTTTGCCCAGGATTGGAGTGCAGTGATGTGATCTGGGCTCACTGCAACTTCCACCTCCTGGGTTCAAGCAATTCTCCTGCCTCAGCTTCTTGAGTAGCAGGACTACAGGTGTGTGCCACTACGTCTGGCTACTTTCTGTATTTTTTTTTAGTAGAGACGGGGTTTTACCATATTGCCCATTCTGGTCTCAAAATCCTGACCTCAAGTGATCCACCCACCTTAGCCTCCCAAAGTGCTGGGATTATAGGCGTGAGCCACTGTGCCTGGCCCGGTCCTGTTAGATTTTAAGACTATCCGAAGTAACAACCAAATACAATGCAAAATAAAAATAGGAATAAAAAAACTACTTCCGGAACAACAGAAGAAATCTAACTATGGCCAGATACCAGAGGATATGGAATCATTCATTTAGGTTTTGATGGTAGGAGAAGGTGCTCAGAGGCAAACTGACAAGTGCTTCCATGAGTTCAAATCCCCTCAAAAGAAAAAGCTTGGGATAAAAGAGTAGCATAGACTGGGGATTGGCCAGGGCTTAGCAACCTGGAGGCCGCTGGTGACCTTAATAGGTGTAGTGTTGCTAGAGTGGTGGAGGTGAAACCTCTGACGTGGGCTTGAGAGAGAACTGCAGATAGACATGCCAGCTGCTTCCCCGTGGAGCGCTGCTGCCAAGGGCCATGACCTGGAGAGGAAAAGGGTCTGGAGAGCGGCCTGGCTTTAAGAAGGGAGAAACAACTTTATTTTCACATGGGAATGTTGGTACTGGCCAAGCAGAAAACAAAGCTGATGGCAGAAGGTCTTATCGCTCAGGTTTTCAGAAACAGGACACGTGGGATCCCACGGCAAAGTCTGGCCTGTTCCTTGCCGGCTTTCCCTTCTTATGTGCTTCCATCTGCTGGTGACCTGATTGCTCCTTAGTGGTTAAGTACATGGCATTTCCACAACTAAAACAGTGCAGGAAGAGATCAGCAGACTTCTCAATGGGGAAATTCCCTCAGAGGGGAAGCAACTTCCCTAGGCCACCCCAGAAGCCGGGCCCAGAGTTGTGGCTGGGCCTCAGGCTCCTGTCTGACTGGTGCCTTCTGCTTGGCTGTGGGGTCCTCTGGTCCAGGTGGTGATGGGTCAGCTGTGTTCTTGCCTGTCCACAAGGCTGGAACCTGGGCTGTCACCTCATCCATACATCGGGAAGATGATGGTCTCCCCATGAGAAGATGAAGCACATGGATGGTGGTGGAGGAACTGGGGGTGCGGGAGTTAGGGGCAGGTGTGCTCCCCCAACACTTCCTGCCCAGTGCTGTGATTTCTGCATTTCTAAGGTGAGCCTGGCACCAAGAGACACCGGATCTAGAGTTCCATGAGGGTTCTGCCACTTCACGTCCTATCTCTGTGACCACGGGTAAACCTCACCCCTTCTAAGTCCATATTCTCTCCTCTCTGAATACTGGCACCAGGAGTACCGGCTTGGGTGGCAGTGAGGATGAGATGCCATCACAGGCACCGCTGCCTAGATGTGCAATGATGCATCAGCTCCATTCACTGAATACTGGGGACCTACCAGGTGCCGGTGGGGAGAGGGTGACCTCGGGCCAGGCTGTTCAGGAAGAGCTGAGGAGCTACTGCCCGGACAGCTGCTGGGAGACTGAGCCTGGCTCTGGGCTGATGAGGAATGAGAAAGAAAGAGCAGCGATGCAAAAGGGTGGCGCTGTTTTAATCAAGTCTCATTACAGAGGCGGAGTTAGGAATGAGTCCCACCAGCTTCCATATGCGGGGGCAACCCTTCTCACAAGGCCCTGCCGTAACACTCAGCCACGGCACCAATGTGTGGCTCAGGGCAAGAAACAGCAGGTGGGGCTCCGCACAGGAACCCCGGACTGCCCAACACTGTCTGCTCGGAGTCCCTCCCAACTCTAACAAGCTTGGGTTGGGGCTCCCCATGTCAGGCACCCTCCTGCCCCACTGCTGAGGTCCCCAACAGGCCACACCTATGTTGGAAACTTTCTTCTACCTGGCCGGCCAGAAAGGTAGCAAAGAGAGATGACGACTCAGGGAATGATGGGCTGTTCAGAAACGGCCAGGAAACCACTTTCCCAATCATCCTGGCTGTACCAGCCATGGGCTAACGAGCTCCGCAAGGAAGTCCCAGTGGCTCTGGGATCCTGAAGTCCCCAAATGGGAACCTAGGCTGAAAGAAGCAAGGCTGTGGCAGCATCCAGAGGGCGACCTCAGGTTTTGTTCCTGACGATGAAAGGTGGCCCCAGAGGCTCAGGTGTGCTCAGTGGGGCCGGGGCCACCGGCATGGGAATGGGCAGGGGCTGCTGCCTGCAGGGGGCCAGTACTGTGCTCCGGGGACACCAGCAGAGGGGCCGAGAGACCATCAGCAGAGTCTGTGTCGAGGTCCAGCCTCCCGTAAGCTTCACACAGAGGCAGGTCATTAGCTTCGCAAAGGCTTGAGCTTTTCCACCACCAGAAACCCCAGGGAGACAGGAGCAGGCAGAGAGGAAAGCAGGGGAGGGGAAAGCAAGACAGAAGCAGAGTTAAGAAAACATGACCATACCCAGACCTGCCTTTCCCCTTTTCTACTCCTGCTCCAGCTGGCCTGAGTCGGCAGGCCTGGCAGAGAGAGGGGCCGGTGGTGAGAGCCACCCGAGCATCCTTTTTTTTTTTTTGAGACGGGCTTTCGCTCTGTTACCCAGGCTGGAGTGCAATGGCGCGGTCTCGGCTCACCGACACCTCCGCCTCCTGGGTTCAGGCAATTCTTCCTGCCTCAGCCTCCTGAGTACCTGGGATTACAGGCACGTGCCACCATGCCCAGCTAATTTTTTGTATTTTTAGTAGAGACGGGGTTTCACCATGTTGACCAGGATGGTCTCGATCTCTGGACCTCGTGATCCACCCGCCTCAGCCGCCCAAAGTGCTGGGATTACAGGCGTGAGCCACCGCGCCGGCCCGAGCTTCCTTAAAGGAAGAAAGCCACCCTGGCACAGCCACCAACAGCTGTGTGACCTCAGCAGGCTCTTCCTGCCCAGCCTCCACATGGGCCTGTCCTAATCCCTGCCTCCCAGCTGGTGCTGGTCCCCTCCTCTTGCAGGAAGCTGTCAGCCTGGCAGCCCTCCCTCCTGCCCGACTGCAGAAACCAGGGTCACTACACTGCAGAGAGCTCTCTGAGGGCGGACTCTGTCTTCTTTCTGAGTCTGTCCCTGTCTGACACAGCCTGAAGGTGGCGAAGTTGGTAACACAGGCCTTGGCACTTCCCTGTAGCTCCAACAGCCAGGTGGCCTCTGGCAGGCGTCCCCACTTTTAACATGGGGAATCCTCAGGGCGGCCAGGATACAGGTGAAGGGCACAGCTAGCCCTTCCGATGCCCGCAGCTGTAATGGCCCACGCCCACCTCCTTCTAACCTGCAGGCAGGGGCGCTGGCTTTCCCACGTCCTGCCTCCCTTGCTCCTGCCCTTGTTCACTCTCAGAACCGTCCTGGGCACAGAGTAGCATCCCGAGGAGAGTGGAGGAGGAGAGGCAGAGCCAGAAAGAGGAAATAGCGGCGGGTGGGCAGGCAGGCACGGAGGGGGCAGCTCATGCGGGCGGGGTGGGGAGCGTAGCACCCTCTGGGGCACCAGCAGGCAGGGACAGAGGAAACTCTTCCCAGCCCTGGCTGTTTAAAGGCAATGTACAGAGGAATGGCAACTGCCTCTGCCACAGGAGCTGTGTGAGGCCCCCGGGGGCGCTGGTGTGGACAGGATGCTTGCGGGAGGGGACACGAGCTGGCCTGGAAGCCCCTCTGGATGAAGCCGAGGGACTATTGGGGAGGGCGTGGGAAGCCTGGCACATCTGTCCTGCGTTTGCACCCTACTCTGCTGCAGGGCTGTGGGCAGGTTCCCTCCCTCCCCACCCCAAGGCAAGGCAGGCTGAATTTTGGCCTCACAGCTGCTCTGTCCAGGGGCCCTCAGGGATAGTGGCTGCCCCAAGAGACAAACAGAACAGTTGTGGATGGACACGCCCAGAGGGGTCTGACACACCCCAGGACCCCTCTCGGCCACCCTGCTGTGTAGGAAATGCTGTCTCCCGTCTGCAGAGTTAATGAGTACTGGGGACCAAAGATTCCCCCCACAATGCCCTGGAAAACTCTAGAACTGCTGCAGCCAGGCAGTGCCACTGAGCCCAGGGCAGGGAAACCAAGCCCCAGGCCACACTGGCTCTAGATTTCTGTGGCTCCCAGCGTTGCCAGTGGGCAGAAAGGGGCATTTTCAGTCCACCACCAGGAATGAAAGTTTTGTCCAGGAGAAGGCACAAGATGGACACGGACTCGGCATCTGCTGGACTGAATCTCAATTGTCTAAGCTAACGGGGGCAGAGAGGAAGGCCTCCCTGTCTCAGCATAAGATTCCCCCTAGGTAAAAAACACGTGGACTCTGATTTCTCAGACCCTGCCAGCTGAAAAGGTTCAGGTTTCTGGCTTCTTACGCGGCCCCAAGAGGGTCAGGATGATGGATTTTGACCCTTCTGCATCCCTGGGGCCCGGCATGGGCCTGGCACGTGGGCCGGCTCCAGCTCCGTGGATAAGGCTGAGTGGGTCAGAAATCGGAACTCCAACAGCTTTCAAGGCCATTCCCTGCCTGGGCTTCGCCCCCCACAGTCACATGACTCCACACTGGGGTTTGGTGACATCCCCATGGAACTGAATCCCTGATGCCCTGGACATAGGTATGGACTTGAGTGCCCAGGAGGGGCTGGCCCAGCCTTGGTCAAAATCTCTGAATATGGATTCAGATGCTAACAGGCGCAGCACTGGCCCAGAGGCACTGCCCGAGGAGGGAGGCTCTCAGGAAGAGACCCTGCAGGGGATGCCAGCCGGGCCCTCCCTTCTCCAGACTCAGCCTGTCCAACTGGCATTGAGTCCTGAGGCTTTCATCACACCGCACTGTGGGAAAGGCCCAGGGCCCTGGCAGATGCTCGTGAATTGTCTGTCGATCAAACGCTCTGGCCAGGAGCTCTGCTCTGAAACCCAGGCACGGCTCCACTGCCAAGAGCAGCAAGGATTTGAAAAAGCAGAAGGCCCTTGAGAGTCAGGCCAGCCTTGCCTGCTGGCCAGGCCCAGGTAGGCAGGCTCCCACTCTCCACAGGGAGTCCGGCACTATTTGTACCTGGACGAGTAATACTCCTCCTCCAGCTCGTAGAGGTCAATGGAGATCTCGTCCCGCAGCGTGATGAGCTTCCGGTCGCACTCCTCCTGCAGCGCACGCAGCTGCTGGTTGCGCTGGTCGATGGCCTCGTTCACGGAGGGGAAGTCGTTGAGGATCAGGAACTGCTTGAGGTCGGACACCAGCTTCATCAGGGACTCACCGGCTCGGACCTGTGGCCATGAGAACCAGGGTGGGCACAGGGTGAGGGGGGGGGCAGCGGCCCTGCCCGAAGGTGGCTGATGCTGGGCAAGTTATGGCCTCTCTGGGAGCCTCTGCTTCATTACAAAGTGGGACTCTATCCCTGACCTCCACAGGTTCATTTGTGAGAATTAAGTGAGAAAACTGGGATGTCAGTTCCGGAGGGCAGCCCTCCCCTCCTCTCAGCCTCTGGCTTCCATTCTTGCAGGACCGGCCTCCAGTCCACTTATGCAGGTGCACACTCCGCTCATTACGAACGCAAACCCCACAGATAAAGCTGCAATCCCTCTTGCCTCCTGCCCCCGGGCAGGGGTAGCACAGCTGCCAGCTGGGCAGGGATCCTGGGAGACCTTTTCCCACCCATTTTCTGCCTTGGACATGAAGCTGCAGGAATATCTGCTTGCTGTGTTTCTCCTGTGGTCCGAAAGAATCCAATGGTGCCTACGGTTCCGTTCGGCTGTTTGCCTTTGCACTCCCAACTGACCTTAGGAACCTCATGAGTCAGCAGAAGGGCTGCCCTCTTCCTGGCACCTGTTCAGCTATAGGATGGCATGGCTGGCTGGCTGCCAGCCTTCCTCCAGGTGCCCCACGTACGGACAGTCTCCCCCACCTCATTCTTTAGAGCATGTCTACATTTGCCTCCATCTGCTCCTTCTCGGGGGAAGAGCAGACCAGCCTCAGAGCACCCTAGCCCTCCACCCAGGAAACCCCAGCGGGGACTGATCCTCCTGGAGCCTGGGCTGTGCCCTCCACCCTGGCCACTCACGATGTTGGCAGCTCGCACGTGCATCTCGTAATTGTCCTGTTCACCTTGAGTGGCCCGTGACACCTGTGTCTCGTCCTCAATCTGGGGGCAAACAAGAAAACCTAGAATCAACCCAGCCACGGTGTCCCACCCCTGGCTCGGCCCAGCCCAGCTGATGGTAACTGTCATCTCTGCCCAGGATGCCCACACTAGGCACGACCTGTTTGTGGTGCCTTCTACAGACCTGAGTGCTGTCAGCCAAAGCCCTGGCAAGGTTCAATTCCACCCTCTCTTGTTCTGGCAATGGCAGACAACAGGCACCTTGCTCAAGAAACACGGAGGCCGACCCACACAGCTGCCGTGCTTGGTGCAGGGAGGGGGGTCTTAGCTGGGCCGGGTCTTTCTGGGCTGTGGGAACCCTGTTTGGTAGGAACTGTCCTCACTTGCTTGGTATTTGGTAAACTGTTAGATGGATGAATGAAGGGATGATGTATTTTTTCTTTCAGCTGACTATTTCCTGATCACTTCCGAGGTGCCAGGCACTGTGTATACATGCTTGACCAACATTAGCCCATGACATTCTCACAGTAAGCCTGGTCTGCCACCCCTGGTTTCTAAGTGGGCAAGCGAGGCTGGGACAACCGGTGCATGTCAAGGCAGTCTCAGAGAGTGAACAGAGGGGCCAGGAGCACAGCCAGTGCATTCGGCTAACCTGGATGGGGCTTCCCAGCGGGCTTTTCGAGGGCTCAGCTCGGGGTGGGTGTCAGGTACCCTCAGTAGTTAAGAGCCAGACCTTCGTGGGTTCTAAATCCTGGCTCAGCCAGTATTAGCTGAGTGAGCTTGTGCAAGTCACTAAGTCTCCTGGGCCTGGGTTTCCTCCTAACTGGAGAGGACAGTGGTGCCCACCTCAGAGTCCCCATGAAGATTTCAGCGGAATGGGCACAGACAGCCACACAACGTGGCTTGACACATGGCGAGCACAAAGTACACGCTGGCTTCCAGGCTTACCATCAGTGCTTACCCAGCCTGCCAGCTCTGCAGCAGCCAGAAGGGATACAGCCCAATGTGGTGCAGCTGCAACCATCAGCAGGCTTGCAGGCCCAGTGCTGACCACTCCACCTGCCCGGAGGTGCCGGGGCTTCTCCCCTCAGCCTGCCTGTCTCCTGCTCACTGGCTCTGTGCCAAGCCCCCAGGCACCAATGCACTAAAAAATGAAATCTCCAAACCCACATGGACGCGGGGCCCCGGCGGTCCAGCAAGAGTCCCCCGCACTGCTTTGCCAGAATGTGCCATTACCTGGTTGATTTATCTGCTGCTGACCGGCTCTCTGTGCGCTGAGTGCTTCCTGCCTGGAATACCATTCACTCACACTGCTCCTCCCCTGGCCTCTCCTGTCTCCACCCCTCCGCAGACCCTGCTCTCCTTTGTGCCCCCCCCACCCCACCTTGGCAGTCTTGATGATCTCGGTGAAGTTGTCCATGATGGACTTGATGTCATCCTTCAGCCGCTTGTTGTAAGACTGCAGCAGTGTCTCCTTGCTCTGGGGCAGGGCTCTCTGCTGGGCCATGGCAGAGCCTCAGGCGGCCCAGGGGCAGAGACCTGGACCTAGAGTGCAGGACAGACCCCTGAGTGCAGGCAGAGCCCTCAGCCACCCTCTATGCCCCCGGCTTAGCAGAACACCCAGATTTCCGGGAATTCCCTTTCTGCCAAATAAAGTTAATCACTGAAACACAGATGAACTCATTCCATCAGCAGGCACCGCAGTGGTGCCGGGACTCTCCTGTGGTCCCACCTCTGCCAGAGCAAGCAAGCTCATCCTAGAACTCCTGGCCAGCCCTCCAAGCCCTGTCTAGGGCTCCAATCCATACTTCACGTTCAGGCCCACAGCGTGTCCTAGGAAGGCTTGCAAGCTCAACTCCAGCTCCCTGGCCCTGGTCCTGGCCTAAATTCTCAGCCCGCTGCTACCCTCGCCACACCCTCCCATCTGAGGAGTCCTTCCAATCCGACCCCTCTGCACCGCCTGCATCCACTCTTTCATTCCACTCCCACTCGGGCTCCTGACCTCATCTCTGCACTGCGCCCAGCTCCCTCCAGTTTCTGCGCGGCAGGGAAGAGGTCCTAAAAAAGTGGTCATTCTGGCCGGGCACGCGGTGGCTCTCGCCTGTAATCCTAGCACTTTGGGAGGCCGAGGCGGGCGGATCACCTGAGAAGTAAGAAGTTCGAGACCAGCCTGACCAACACGGCGAAACCCCGTCTGTAGCAAAAATACGAAAATTAGCCAGGCGTAGTGGCGGGCGTATGTAATCCCAGCAACTCGTAGGCTGAGACAAGAGAATCGCTTGAACCCGGAAGGCTGAGGCTGCAGAGTCGAGGTCGCGCCACTGCACTCCAGCCTGGGTGACAGAGCGAGACTCTTGTCTCAAAAAAAAAAAAAGTGTTCATTCCACTCCTTCGCTTAACAGCCCTCCCGGCTCCTCGGTACGCCGGGACGCGCACCTCTCGGCCTCTGCCCTGCAGCCGCACTGGGTGGCCTCGGCGCTGGACCTGCCTGGCCCTTGGGCAGGGTCTTTGCGCACCGTGCTCGGGGAGGGCCTGGGGCCCCCTCGGTTCGGGGCCTGGCGCGAGGCCGAGCGGACTACTGGACGGACTCGCGTTATTCGCGCCCATATTTGGCGGGATGGGGTAAGTAAGTCACGCGTCCTAAAGTGAACCCTGACCCCAGCCCCCACGGCCCACCCACCCTCACCTCGGTCCCCACCCTCCATCTCTGTCCTTACCCCCCATCTCCGTCCCCACCCCCACCACACCCTCACCCTCAACCCAGCGCCCACGCACCAGACGCCGCGTCCGCGGTGTCGGCCCGGGGCGGGGTGGACAAGTGCCTCCGGGACCCGCACTTTCCCCCGCCTCTCCCCGGGCCGGGCCCGCCCGCCGCAGTTTCTCAGCCCGGACAGAGTCTTCCCGGTGGCTCCTCAGTCGGAAAACCCAGTCAGCCGTGGTAGCTTCTCCGCCCGCGTTGATTTTTAGGTTTATAGGAGTCCTGTTGCTTTAAATCTGACATCCCGCGCCGGCATCAACTCTCGCGATCTGCCAGGCGGCATATTTATTACCCACAATTCCCTTTCCTTTCTTTGTCTTCCCGCTGCCCGGAATGGTGAGTAAGTTTCTTTTTGCGACAGTGTAACCGGGTCCCGAGTTTATCCGCTGCCATACTCCTCCAGGCGCGGCCTCACAGGGCCTCCTGCCCCGCCTAGCTCTAGGAGAGCCGTACCCAGTGTGGCACGGAAACACTGAGACGGACTACAGCCCTGGGCGGCCGGAAGCGGGATGCGTTGTTCCAATGCCGCTAGGCTGGAGGAGGAGGGCCGGGAGCGCGGCGGTGCGGGGCTCGGACGTGGCGGAGGCTCTCGGAGCAGTAGCGAGCGGCGCCTGGTTTTCTGAGGGCCGCCCCAGAGGCTTTGTCCGACGAGTTCCGAGCCCGCACCTGCTGCTTCTGGAGCCTGCGGGGACGCGGCTCAGGCGCCCTGAGTCCCGTCCGGGGCGTCTCCTGGGTAGGCGACGCGAAGAGAGCGTGGCATCGGCCTTAGCCGGGCTCCGGCCACTCGGGCTTCCGTGGGCTGCGTGCTCGTGCGGCTGACGGGGGACGCTCCTGTCGAGTCTTGGAGAGGACGTTCCCGGCATCCAAGGCCGTAGCTGCATAGTTTGGGATGGCGCCCGGGGGGCTTCAAAACGCAGCTCGCCGGCCTGGTCCGGCAGGGGCCGTCGGCGCCCCTTGTTTTGAAGGAGCCAATCTGAGATCTCCCGACGAAGGAGGCGGCTGTTTAACCGGGATTTTCTTTCTGTGCAGCCGGAAGGAAAGACCAAGGGGAAGAAGGTGGCTCCGGCCCCTGCTGTCATGGAGCAGGAGGCCGAGAAAGTGGCGAATCCCGTGTTTCATTTGAAAGGCCGAAGAATTTTGGCATTGGTGAGCAACAAACGGTAGAATGAAACGGTCTGTGTTTTTCCCCGAGGAAAAGTGGTAATGGGGTTGAATCGGATCTTGTAGGTTTTAATGGGTGTGACGTGGTGTCAGTCCTCAACTTGTGTCCCTTGGAGACGGGCAGTGATGGTGCCTGTCTCTTGCTTTCATTGGGAGTTGCTGAGTGAGCGTTCGGCTGAATAGGGAAGTGGCCTTGGATTCATCTTAGCCATCCGAAAACAAGTGCAGCAGTGTTGTCCCAGTGAGGCCCTCGGACTGCAATTCTGCTGTACTTGGTGGCCCCTTGGCTTCTTGTTAGGAAAGGCATCGTGCTCTCGCTCGCGTTCTCGGGTGCTTGGGTGCAGATGATGTAAGAGAATATTTGCTATCTGAAAGATGCTGATGACGTTTTAAACCACCAAGATCGCTGATGCACCCACACCCTTCTGAGTGACCCCAGATATGAACTTGACACGGAAATGGAGCCTCACTCGGTCGATGTCGCCCTTTATTTCTCAGGCCACGACAGCCAACCGAAAAGAGACCTCACCGGATTTGTGAAATGGCCCCTCTGTGTCAGGCTGCAGCGGCAAAGAACCATGCTTTATAAGCGGCTGAAAGTGCCTCCTGCCATTAACCAGTTCACCCAGGCCCTGGACCGCCAAACAGGTGAGGTTGTGTGGCGTGGAAAGGAGTTTTTCAGGCAGAGACTCGACTCTGACCGTTCTGTATCTGAGGCTTCCGGGGTTGGGGGCAGCTTTTGAGGTGTATGAGTTTATTAAAGTCAATGATGACTGACTTCATCCGGAATCTGAGGGTGAATGGCCTTCAGTTTCTTTGTCATTACATTGTAGTCCTTATATACAGGGATGTAGAGTTTCTATTCAGTGATAAGGAGTAGAACCTTGACTACAAGCCTGAACTGAAGAGTGTTTTCCCAGCTATTGAGGTGCTGAAGCTGGCCCAGAAGTATAGGCCAGAGAGGCAGCAAGAGAAGCAGCAGAGGCTGTTGGCCCCGGCCGAGAAGAAAGCTGCTGGCAAAGGGGACATCCCCACTAAGAGACCACCTGTCCTTTGAGCAGGTGAGTAGACCCCACCCTAGGGTGAACACTGGGGGCCAGCTGTTGCAGTGATGTAGAATTTCTTCACCTGAAATGACTGAAGAGTAAAAGCGAGCTTTTTAACAGAGTCAGCACCTGGGCCCAGCAGCTTCTAGTGACCGGAGCAGGCCTGGTGAATGGTCACACTGATTGTGTGTTCTAGGAGTTAACACCGTCACTGCCTTGGTGGAGAGAAAGAAAGCTGAGCTGGTGGTGATTGCTCACGACACGGATCCCATTGAGGTGTGTTTGCCTGTTGACTGCTAATCCAAGGGCTTCTGTCAGTACTGGGAAGAGTAGGCCTAATGACGAGTCAGTGTTGAGACCGAAGTGGGTGGGGACAGTACTGACAAGGGATGCAGCTCAACGCGTCGCTCTTGCAATGATGTGAATCTCTCACTGAATTTAACCTTAAAGTGGGAATCCAGAGCTTTTTAACCCTGAGCAGTTGCTGCCGAGCTAGCTTTGAAATGTACTGCTTTTGGTCCAAATACGCTCTTCAGCTAATGCTTTCTTCCAGCTGGTTGTCTTCTTGCCTTCCCTCTGTCGGAAAATGGGAGTCCCTTACTGTATCATCAAGGGGAAGGCAAGACGGACGTCTAGTCCACAGGAAGACCTGCACGACTGTGGCATTCACCCGGGTTAATGGGTAAGTACACAGCCTGGCCCCAGACTTCCCCAGTGCATTTAATCCAAGCCTCACAGTTGTTTTCCTTAAAGGCCAATCTTTTACCTTTAAGAAATACATTTGGCATTTGGCTGGGCGTGGTGGCTCAGGCCTGTAATCCAGGGACTTTAGAGGCCAAGGCGGGCGGATCACCTGAGGTCAGGGTTCAAGACCAGCCTGACCAACATGGTGAAACCGTCTTATTAAAAAAAATACATTTATCTGAACTTTTGCCAATGATGGTTAAGAATTTCTTCACCTGAATAAACCATGTGGTCACATCGCATCTGAGGCAAAGACTGTCGAGCTAAAAATGAAGAAACTTAGACATTCTAAAAGGGAAACTGAGAGGCCAGAAACCCCCTATTGTTTTCCCTCCTGCCATGTTAGGGAAGACAAAGGCACTTTGGCTAAGCTAGTGGAAGCTACCAGGAGAAACTGCAGTGACAGATACGAGGAGGTAAGAGCAGCTTCATACAAAATATCCTGCTAATCATCTTTCCAAACAACTGGCTGGCTTAACGTATGAGCAGTTCCATCTGGCGATCAGCTTGGAACAGCCAAACACAACAACGCAACTAACAACCCTGAAAATCTCGGAGAACAAGAGGCTAAGCTGACTCCCTCTTTTTGTCTTTTCAGATAACGCCTCAGTGGGGAGGCAATGTCCTGGGTCCCAGGTCTGGCTCACATCGCCAAGCCTGGAAAAAGCAAGGGTGGAAGAACTTGAAACATCCATTATAGTTTTCTGTAAATAAAAGTAATTTAAGTGATACAAATTTTCCTTCAGCCAGTGTCTGTCGGTATCTTGGGTTGAATCTTACTTGGGGTTAGCAAGTATCTTTTTTTTTTTTTTAAGAGAAGGACCCTCACTGTCCTCCAGGCTGGAGTGCAGAGGTGTGATCTCAGCAACCTTTGCCTCCCACATTCAGGATACTCTGGTGCCTTAGCCTCCTAAGTGGCTGGAATTACAGGCCCACAGCTGGCTGATTTTTGTGTTTTGGGTAGAGAAGGGGTTTGGAATGTTAGGCTGCCTCAGCTCTTGACCTCAAGTGAGCCGCTGCACCCAGCCCTTCTTTCTCACCCTTATACATTCTTAACCAGGCATTTTGTTCCTTAGAGATGTAATTTTTGTGTTAAGTTTTGGGAAAGGTCTTTGAACTGACTGAAACAGAGTCAGGATTTTATGATCAACCAGCCATGAGCTCATGCAAGGTAGAAGGCCCAGAACTTTTATTTATCCCAAGAGCACATGATCCCGCATAAAGGTAGTTTCAAATACATCATTATTCAGGGATAGGGCTTTAGCAGCTGGTCTCACGCACCAGGTGTTCCACGTACAAACTTCTTAAACCACAGGTATGATGTAGCTGCAGAGAGTCCATACCTGGGGTTGAAAGAGCCAGTGTTAGTGGGCTGCTGGGCTGAAGGGGAGGGAGCCAGGGGACCGCCTGGGACTCCCTAGGTTACGATGTACTGCAGATGCTCATTCCTCAGAGTGACTCTGGTTTGCCCTCCAATGGGTCCTCCTGGGACTGTGCTTTCTGCAGAGACAGTGGACTCAAGTTCACCCTCTGCTGCCTGCCAGCCTCTGCACTACTTCCTAGTGGCTGTCGTTTTAATGGGAAATCCTGTGTGGCCTTTACCTTGGCCTTGACCCCTCAGTACTTGCCTAGCTAGGTTCCCTTTGCTGAGTTGCCACCTCCCCCATAGACACATGCGACAACGGATGCCACAGCAGGGACTGGGTAATGAGGGTTAGGAGGAGGAAGGACAGTCTTCACAAAAGCTATTTGTTCTAGGGTGAGCTGGTCACAACATACTGAAGTCAGCATCAATGAAGATGGGCTCTGCGCCTGTGATTCTGGCCATAGCCTCCAGGTCCCGGTAATGCCAGTGGTTCCTTTCTGGACTGCTCTCAGGGACAAAAGGCTTCCTGGTTTCTGTCAGCCTCACCGTCCCAATGAGGTCCACTTCTCCCTCAATCTATAAAGGAAGGTGAGAGACCATGGAGCCTGGCTGACTCCCAGATCCTTCCCTAAAGCAGGAAGGGTCCATGTCCCTTACCTGGCCTTTCTGCCGGGTTTCAGGATTCACTTTCTTCCTGGGAACAAACCCTCTATTTACCAGGATGGTGATTCTAGAGTAACGAAAGTGCTGTTTAGGTGGGGAGGGTCTCTGAATAAGAGCTGTCACGGTTACTCAGGCACCCATAGGAACAACTATAGATAGCACTAAGGAAGGCTTTTAAAACAGGACTGGCTCAGTGGAGCCCTGGCAGTGCCACACAAAGTCTTCCTCTCTTGAGGCCCTTTAAGCTTCCCTGCCACCTCACCACTTTTCACCAATGTGGCTTTCCTCTCTATCTGCTGCTTTCTTTCTGCTCTCCCACTGCAACATGTAACTGGCGACCAACACTGCCATGCCAGAGTTGAGACCCCACACCTCTCCCCTGAACTAGCAATGGCTGCCTCCAATCCCTCATAGAGGGGGCAGCGTGAGGAGAAGCCCTGGCACCGCAGCCTGTTGGGAGACGGAGCATTTTGGACTGAACCATCCCGGGCCTGAAACCGGAACCCATGGGCTGACAAGAGCCCCAGGTATTTTCATTTGAATATTAATCCTCCAGTTCCTCAGTGAGTCACACAGGTGCTCCTGTACCTGTCATTTGCTTTGCCTGGAATGTTATTCCCATCTCTTAACTCCCAAATGGCCCCCTAGGGAGGCATTCTCAACTCCACTCCCTCAAGGTAGGGCTGGGATCCTTTCTCTTGAGTTGCCAACCTCCACTGAGCCCCGCCCTCCCGGACAGGGTCTGCTGTGCGCTGAGGGAGGACTTCGGGCTGCTGGGGAGAGGGTGGCATCACTGCCAGCCCAAGCTGCCTTTGAGAGGTCATGCCAAGCTGACTGCAGCAGGGCTCGCCTTGGGCCTGCTCAGTGCCCTCCTAGCCATGGCTTCCCAGGCCTGACTGGATCTGGGATGAGTGGTCAAGGCCCAGCAGACCTGCACCATCTTCTCATCTCCCAGCTGCAGCCCTGCCCCACCACCCTCTGGATCACAGGGGCTGGGAAATTCAGCTGTTATCCCCACCAACCAAACACATTCTCCCATCCATGGCCCCTCAGTGGGTGAAGGCTAAGCCCCAGGGAAGGATAGATTATCACTGTCAGAGGCAATTGAACTAGAGCGACTCCATGTGGAATAGGGGCTGGGTCACATGAGGCTGAGACTTACCGGGCTGCATTCTCAGGAGCTTAGGCATCGTTAGTCACAGGGTAAGACAGGAGGTTGGCAGAACTGGTATCACAAGATACAAGTCACCGACACAGCTTTGATAAAACGGAATGCAGTGAAGAAGCCCACCGAAAACCAGCAAACCCAGATGGCAACAAAACTGACTTCCAGTGGTCCACACTGCTCATTATGCGCTAATTATAATGCTTTAGCTGCTGAAAGACATTCCCACCTGCGCCCATGACAGTTTACAAATGCCATGGCAACGTCCAGAAGTTAGACTCTATGTCTAAAAGGGAGAGGGACCCAGTTAAGGGAAATCCCCTCCCCTTTCTTGGGAAACTCTCAACAGTCCACCTGTTGTTTGCTATATAATCAAATAACCAAAAATATACTCAGTCGAAATCTAAGAACCCTGTCACGGGGTCTGGATTGGGACTCCTTTCAGGTAACACTACTAGGTACAGGGAGCCCCCACATCCAGGGACAAGTGGGACAGAAACCCAAGCACCAGCAGCTGGTCCAGCCAGGCTCCTGTGTGCACTCTTTGGTCCAGGTCATTTGGTTTACCAGGCCTGAGAGCCCCACACCTGAAGTGTTAGTGCAGCCCCAACACTGCAGCCCAGCCTAACCACTGCAGCCCATGGACACCACTGCAGCCCAGCCTAACCACTGCAGCCCATGGACACCACTGCAGCCCAGCCTAACCACTGCAGCCCATGGACACCACTGCAGCCCAGCCTAACCACTGCAGCCCAGGGACACCACTAGAGCCCAGGGACATCACTGTAGCTCAGCCCAACCACTGCAGCCCAGGGACACCCCTGCAGCCCAGCCCAACCACTGCAGCCCAGGGACACCCCTGCAGCCCAGCCCAACCACTGCAGCCCAGGGACACCACTGCAGCCCAGCCTAACCATTGTAGCACAGGGACACCACTGCAGCCCAGCCCAAGCACTGTAGCCCAGGGACACCACTGCGGCCCAGCCCAACCACTGCAGCCCAGGGACACCCCTGCAGCCCAGCCCAACCACTGCAGCCCAGCCCAACCATTGTAGCACAGGGACACCACTGCAGCCCAGCCCAAGCACTGTAGCCCAGGGACACCACTGCAGCCCAGCCCAACCACTGCAGCCCAGGGACACCCCTGCAGCCCAGCCCAACCACTGCAGCCCAGGGACATCACTGCAGCCCAGCCCAACCACTGCAGCCCAGGGACACCACTGCAGCCTGGGGATACCACAGCAGCCCAGCCCCAACTCTGTAGCCCATGCCCTGCAGTTGTCATCCCTGCTAGTTCTGTGGGTAGCAGAGAGAAAACTCTGGAAAGTGCTGGACACATGGGAGGCCCTGAAAGAATGGTGGCTGCCACTGTGAGCTCTGTTTCTGTGGTGCTTACAGACAGATGGGTCCTTTGCAGATTTTCATTCCAAAACTAAGCTCCCATCACCCAGTCCTGTCCTCCCCACTGGCAGAGCTTGTTTCTGGATCCAAGCTCTCTCCTGTGCACCAAATCTGGTGGCCTTGAGTCCCAGCTCTGCCTTGCACAGGGACTTTTCGAAGCCCTATCTGCCCTGTTGTGAGATGGGGTCACCCAGCTGCCCCCCAGGGGGTGGTGTTGCTGATGGAATAGGTGAGGATACGTGCCAAGAGCTTCACATGGCCTGGCTTTCCCAGGCTGGGCGTGCCCCGCTGATCCTCAGTTTCTTCACATGGACAGTGGCTGATGCCGACCACCCACACTTGGTTTGCCCCAGAGCCAAGGCGAGCTCCTTGAGGACAGGGATCTGGCCCCCACACAGGGCCCCCCAAAATCTGCTTGACGAGTGCCAGGCAGTTCTGGAAGGCCGGGCATGTTCTCAGGGCTCTCTGGGGTTGGGTGGGCCTGGACTATAACGGCCTCTGCCCATGGTCTTTCTAGAGGCTTCCCCAAGTGCCAGAGCTGCCCTGGAGGGCCAGGGTTATCAGAAAGCCCAAAGGGAGAACATCAGAGAGACACTGGCACATCCAAGAAGTCCAGGGCCTGGGGTACACCAAGGGGTAACTCTGTGCTGTGAAAGGCAGGCCTGGCCAGGAGAGGGGGTGGGCCTGTGGAGGAGGCGGGGATCTCCTGGGGCTCTTCTGAGGAAGCCCCCAATCTCCCACTGTGTTCTGCTCTCCTGGGCGGGCAGGTGTCAGGATGGCGCCTGGTTTTTGGCAGAAGCCCCGCCCATGGTGTGCACTTTGGATATCTGTGTGTTGGGTCCGTGCTCTGCAGCCTCAGCAGGTGCTGTGATGGGGAATGGTGGGGCAGGGACCTGGCCAGCTCCTTGTCTTAGCTGCCTTCACACCATGGGGTTTGCTTTGCACATCACATCCCTGTGAACCTACAGGGACGATTAGTTTGCTGGTTTGTGGCAGAGTGTTCTTTTTGTTCTTAAAAATGGGATTTAGTGGATTTTTAGCTTCCCAGGTTTCATCTGAACCAGTGACTTGGAATTTAAGACAGTGGCTACATGCTTTTGGCTGAGTTTGGGATTTGTGATCCAAAAGAGTTCTTGGTTCATTTTGTTATATGACTCAAATATGACATGATTTTTAGTGCCTTTTAAAAAATATAATGAGGCAGTGGCTGCATCAACATTAACCAAGACTGGGGCAATGTTTAAGGAAGGAGCAGAATCACTGGAGAGTGCCCTTCTTGTTGCTGGGAGACTCCCAGCCCCCTCGGGCCTGAAGAGGAGATGTGGCAGTGCCAGGAAGCAGGCATGGAGAGCAGAAAACTGATTTCTGCTACAATCAATACTCTGGCAGTCTGCTGACCTCCTTGACTGAGGAATGTGGCCATGGACTCTTCTGTGACGTTACCGTGATAGTGTAAGACTAAAAATTCCAGGCCCATAAGAGTAGTCTTTCGGCTTCTAGTACCTGCCTCCATCAGCTCTTCACAGTTGCCGGGCTGATACCTCCCAAAATACCAGATTGATGGATCATGAATACAGAAGATACAGATTCCTATACTTCTTCAAGAACTGCTTTCCAATTCCTTAATAATTTCAATATAATTACCGGAAATACTAATGATCCAGGCTTAGAATCAAAACATCTAATGGAGGGTGAGAAGATCGTTACTTTAGATACAGCTACTGAAATTGAAGGCTTATCGACTGGTTGCAAGGTTTATGCAAATATCAGTGAAGATACTTATGACATAATGATTCCTGTCAAAGATGACCCTGATCAAGGGGAGGCCAGCCTTGAGAATGAAATTCCAAAAACATCTGGCAGCGAGATGGCAAACAAACATATGAAAGTAAAACAGGATGATCACTGAGTTCAGAGTAGATGGAAGGGTCAATTGATTATATCTCTATTGTAAGCAAAAAGTCGAATGTCTGACAAGCTTGCAGAGACATTTTCACGTTCATTCTTGGGAGAAGTATCTGTGCTATTATTGTGAGAAGGTATTTCCTCTTACAGAAAGATCGCACAAAGCATGAAGTTCATCACACAGGGGAGCGAAGATATCAGCGTTTGGCCTGTGGCAAACCTTTCATCAACTCTCTGTTCATATCGTCACATAAAAAGTCAGTTCATAGTCAAGATCCTTCTGGGACTTTTATCGTTCACATCCATCCTGGTCTTTACAGATCAGACAATGTGCATATCTTTCTGATAGATCAAGCACTATGGCGGCAGTGAAGGCGTACGGTTTTGGGTAAAAGGTTGACACCTGAGAAGAACCTCCAGTAGGGACCAACACATCTACTCAGAAGAAGCCAATGACCTGGGAAGATATTTTTATTCAGCAGGAAAACGATTCCATTTTTAACCAGAATGTAACAGATGGCAGTACTGAGACTGAATTTATAAAACCAGAATCTTAAGAAACTCCTTTGAAATACTAGAAAGTTTCATTTTGGATGATGAGGCAGGGGTTTCAGAAGGTCGGTAAAACAAATTAAGGTGTGAACAAGTTAATTTGATCTGCCACATTATCTGAAGGTAGTGAAGTGGGATTATTTGTTGATAATTTTTAGAAGCAAATTTTTCTGAAAGTTTGAGTAGAGGTGAGACCCTCCCCTCCACTCACTAAGTATCTGCTTATGTAATAAGCTTCCAGCTCATTTAAAAGAGGCAAAAATAAAAAGCTTGGAGAGAGAGTTTTTCTGAATAGAATTTGAAGCAGTCTCAATGTTCTCTGAACATAACTGGAATTATTAGCATCCCCTAGTACCTCTTAGAGCTTCCCCTTCCATGTTAGCACTTTACTGCTGAATTCTCTATTTTCTTAACATTGAGACAATAAATGTGTGCTTTGTCTTGTACATGGCATGAAGAGTAAATAAGAAGTTTTAGGGTTGTTCTGGAAAATGTCAGAATAAGTCTCCACGTGGATTGCATATTCTGCTAGTCCAAGTGGACAGCAACTTCCTGCTCTACCCTCACTCCCTGAAAATAGCCATGCAGACAAGTCTCTCATCTGAAGAACCTTCTTCAGAAGGTTTAGCTGAATAGAATTAATCCTTGCTTTCATTGCCATCATCTGTAAAAATACTTTGGTGGCTAGACCGCTCTATACCTGTGCAATATGGTCTCTGTGGGCAAAAAACAAATCTCCACAATGCAGACAGGAGGATGTGAAAAGTTCTGTTGCACGTATTTTTAATTCTGTGGCTGTCACTTGATAGATAGTAGAATTGAATGGAGATTTCCTTTTTGCTTTGTAGGGTTAAAAATATTCCCATGAAAATTTCAGATTTTGAATCTGAAAGCCAGCAAATGAATCTTTATGTATAAATCCTTGTAAATGATAGATCCCATAAGTGAGACTTTTACATATTTTGAGTGGGAGGTTACTGGCACATTTTTTTTTTTTTTTGAGACGGAGTCTTGCTCTGTCACCAGGCTGGAGTGCAGTGGTGCAATCTCAGCTCACTGCAACCTCCGCCTCCTGGGTTCAATCGATTCTTCTGTCTCCGCCTCCTGAGTAGCTGGGACTACAGGCATGCACCACCACGCCCGGGTAATTTTTTTTGTATTTTTAGT